GGGACTAAAAGGGAGCCAGACAGATAAAGTCTTCATTTTTCCCTCACTATGCACTGCTCTAAGGTACGCTCTCTTCCAGCAACTTCCCCAGTTCAGAAGTTCCATGTGCTGAGTGAGCACAGCTCTGCATGACCTGCCGGCAGCTCTCTGAGGTGAAAGCTAGTGTGGTGATGCATCTCATCACATTATATTACACCTTCCCTTGCCTCCTTTCACTTTTTCTCCTACATCCAATACCTTAGACTTACACCTCCCAACTAAACTAGTCAGAATCTTAATCCTTGCCTCAGGCTCTGTTGTACAGAGAATCCAATTAAGACAATATCCAAATGATGTCAAGTAAGAAGTTAAAAGTCTAGAATTCAGAGGAGAAGTCAGGAGTGGAATTACTAACTTGGGCAAATCAGAAGGTGTATAGTATTTAGGGCCATAGAACTCATGCAGTCACTTAGTGTGTGGATAGAAATATGGGACAAGAAGCAAACCAGTCTCTCTCTAAAATCTAATATTTAGGTATAGGAGGATATATCCAGCTGCAGAGAGTTGAGAAAGAAGGGTTAAAGAGGTAGAATAAAATGTGAGAAGTGTAATGACATAGGCAAAAGAGGGGGAGAGGGTCGCAAGGAAGATGGAAATCATCAGGCGAGCCGACATTAGCTGAGAGATGTGGTAATGTAAGGGAGAGAGACCACAGGCTTGGACAGCATGGAAGCTGTAGGTGACCTTGATGGGAGCAACTTCAGGAAGGAAGTTGAACTGCAGTGGGTCAAGGAGAGAAAGGAGATGAGGAAGTGGAAATAACTAACATCCTAGACAAGTCTTTGAAGAAATTTAAATGACAATGGGGAGGAAATAAATTGGGTGACAGCAGGCAGTTGGCCCGGTTATGTGTGTGGGAGAATGGTACTGTCTGGAAATTAAGGGACCCAAGATCTAATCCTCTTATTGCCATTAACCAGCCGAGGAGGCCCTAGGTAAATAAGTTCCCTTTATAGGCATTAATTTCCTCATTCACCAAATCAAATATCTCTCGGATCCCTTCTAGCCCAGAAAAGCTACATTCTCTGGAGAAGCTGAAGCTGACAACGAAGAAACCGTGATGACGAAGGAAATTAGGGTTCTTGAGAGGATGATGTAGGTCCTTAAGGGGCAGTCAAAGGGCGCCTACCTCCTAGGGATGTAGGAAGGGTTAAATAAGGTGGTGAATGCAAAGCACTTAGCACAGTGCCTGACATAACAGTAAGAACACGACATGCTTTATTACTGGAAATAATAGAGGTAGTATTAGTAGCAGAAACTTGCAGGCTATTGTGATGAACTGCTCTACAGCACATGCAAGAAAGTGCCATTTGGAGATAAAAAGGGGAGAAAGAGGAGGGATGGATCAGGTGGTGCCTGGGGTGGCAGCGAGGACCACACTACAGTCAACTTGTGGAATCAAGGGTGGTTGTGGACTTGATGGCAGCTCAGACCTGGTGCCTTGAATGATGTACAGCTCCACCTAAATGGGAAGACATTTTACTTTTAAAGATTCTTTTTATTCCATGTAAAAGTAGGGTAGCAATACAAGGAGCCAAATCCACCTCAAAGAAAAGGAAAGTTGGAGGACTGACTTAACCAGATATCAAGATTTTTTTTATAAAGTGACAATAATTAAGGCATTGCCACAATTGATAAGCAAGTGGAACAGAGAGTTTAGAAACAGATCCATGAATATATAGGCACTTGATTTATGAAAAGATGTCCCCTCAAAGCAGTAGGGAGAGGACAAGCTAATTAATAAGTGGTGCTGGGCCAAATGGATATACAAATGACAAAATAAAAATAAAACTCACCCCCTGCTTCAGACCCTAGGAAAAAAAACAACAATCGTATGTGGTCTATAAATTGAGGATGAAAACTTCTAGAAGGTAACATGGCGAATAGCTCTTTGATCTTGGTAGGTTAATAGTCTTAAATTGGACACAGAAAGTCTTAAGAATAAAGAATATCCTTATATGAATTTTGTTAAACATATTAGTTCATCAAAAGATACCATTAAGACGGTAAGAAAAATTTCAACTTAAGGAGTGAGAAAGATATTCACAGCCCATATAACTGATAAAGGGCTCAAATTCAGAACATTTATGGGCAAAAGACCTGCAGAGGCACCTCACAGAAATAGAATGGCCAATGAACACCAGAAATGGTGCTCAATTAGTCATCAGGGAAATACAAATGAAAATCACATTAGATATCACTAAACACCCACAGGAATGAAAATAATTAAAGTGATGAACAAAATGTGAAGCAAAACAAAACCGAATGTGGAGCAGCAAGAACACATCCATTACTGATGGGAATTTAAGATGGTACAGCCACTTGAGGAGAAGTTTGATACATCTACTAAACCTAAATATAATGTGTACAAAACCCATCACATCTATTCCTGGGTATATATCTGACAGAAATAAGTGTCTGCGTTCATCAAAGACATGCACAAATATGTCCTTTGTAGCATTGTTCATAACAGGCTCAGGATAGAAACAACCCACATATCCATGAAGAGTAGAACAGATAAATTCTGTTTACAAATGGTGGTATGTTCATAGAATATGGTACACAATGAAAATAAATTAACTACTGCTACACACGACATTGAGGAATCTCACAAATTCAATGTGGAATGAGGGAAGCTAGTTACAAAAGAATATATATATATATATATATTATTCCATTTACATGAAGTTCAAAACCAAGCAAAATCCATCTCTGGATAGTGGTCCATTGTAGGAGAAAGAAAAAGATAGTGGGAAGGGGCATGAGATAGGTTCTGGGTGCTGGTAATATTCTATTTCCTGACCTGGGAGGTGGGTACAAGAGTATTTTCTTTGTAATCATTCATCAAAAATTTACTTAAAGTTTGTGTACTTTTCTGTATATATGCTCTACTTTAAAAAAAAGGTTTATCTAAAAAAATGAAATGAGAATGCCAATGACCCTCATTTTAGTAAACGATAGTGTTTCTCCCCTCCTTGTTTCCAACACAACTACCCATCCGCGTTCCCCACTGCACATGAACTTGCAGTTCTTACCAAATGAGTCAGCCACAATGGAAAAAATTTAATAGATTTTCAAAGATTTTTTTTTAAGTGTGATGTTTCCTTATAAGGTCATTAAAAACTATTTTTAAATAAAGCCATCAACCCTCACTCTCTCTCCCTTTATGGTTAAGAAAATGGAAATGCTGGGTCCAGGAACATTAGTCATCCTCAGATCAGAGGGTGAAAGTGGATTAGAAATTCACACATTCATTCACCTGACAAATATATAGTAAGTGCCTACTTGATATATAATAGTCCAGGTGCTGCAGCTATCTCAGTGGACAAAAGTGGAAAAATTTTGCCCATTATTTTCTGTCTTTTCGTTCCTGTTCTCATGGAACTTATTTTCTAGTTGAGATAGAATATACACACACAAAAAGAATCCTGAGAAAATGCCCTGGAAATTTAAAAAGGTGGGCGCGTGGACTAGCAGGTGCCAAGAGGAGGTCGTGCTGTTGTGTGGAGTGTGGTCTCACCCAAAGGTGAGAGACTGGAAGGAGAAGAGGAGGCCACGGGGGCGTCTGGGAGAAGAGTGCTCTAGGCCAAGGGAGGCTGAGATGGGAGCAGTCTCTGTGTTGGAGGCATAGCCGGAGGCCAGTGTGGCAGGCTGGGAATGAGCAAAGCCTGGAGCAGATATCAGTCAGAGATCAGTAGGAACTCCCAAGCCATTGTAAGGGTGTCAGCTTCTCCTCTGAGTAAGATCGAAGCCACTAGCTGGGTTTGAGTGGAAACAGTGACGTGATCAGGCTTCAATTTTAAGAGCCATTCAGGGTGCTGGGTGAGAACGGGACAGAAGAGGGGGAAGGACCGAAACAAGAAATTGGATAGGAAGCCATTACAGTGATGCAGGTGGGAGGCGATGGTGCATTGAAGCAGTGGTGAGACCTGGGTGTATTTTATGATAGACAAACAGGGCTTACCATTTGGAAGTGGACTGTGAGACAGGGAGGAGTCAAGGGTTTTTATCTTAAGTAACTGGAAGAACCGTTGTTCTTGTCAGCTGAAGTGGGTGGAATGGGTGTGGGTGGAAGGTTCCGAAACGACGTTCACACATGTTTGCCTTGAGATCAGACATTCAAGTGGAGATTAGAGAGAGACAGTTGGAGATAAGGAGACGAGATCACGGAGAAGCTGGGATGGAAGATGTAAATTTGGGTGTTGGTGTTTAAAGCCATGAGGCTGGATGAGATCACCTAGGGAGAGGACAGCAGAAAAGAGAAGTCATCCAAGGAATGGCCCTGTGAGGTCAGTCCTGCCCTGATCCTGCTTCCACTGCAGGAACGGGGTATCCTCATGAGGGAGGAATTGGCCCCGATTCCCAGTGTATCAGGTGGCTGATTCGTTTCATGTGTGAGGATAGATGGGCCAACACCATGTCCTAGAAATGGAACCTCAGTGGAGACCAGCCATTCTGTGAGGGAAAGAGCCAAACATCCTCAGTTACGATTCCATCTTCACAGCGCCCAGCTCTGTGGGGTTGGAACTTGTGACCTGGAGGTCACTAGCTTCTCCCACCTAGCATTGGTTTGCCATGCGCCCCGGGCCTTCTCCCGTGGTGATCTCCTTACCTGTCTGCTAGTCCAGCCCCAGGCGTTCTGTTCTCCTAGAAGAGTGTAGTCCCTGGGCAGGCCGTGTATCCTCCCGCAATGAGCCAGAGACTAAGGTCTGGGGAAGGTGGCCTCCAAGGCAACAGGGGCTTGGGTAGGAGCTGTCCATGCATTTCGTCCATGAGGTGGAAATCCTCTCCTAATGTTTCCCATTCCCCTTATAATGAATCACCAGATAAGCAGGGCCCCTGCTAGAAATTTATAAAAGCTTCACAGGATTTTATGGTTTGAGTAAAGAGAAGAAACAGCTGACTGGGGTCTTGGAAGGTTGCAATCAGTCTCTTTCCATGATTGCTCTTTATTTCTAAAGCTTAGATTACAAGGGAAATGAAGAGCAGTGCTGAGGAAGAAGCTCCTGCAATGCCTCCCAGTTGCCTCCCTTCCTCAGCTTCACTGTCACTGCTCAGTCTCTCCAGGACTTGTCTGAGGAGTCCAGCTAAGAAAAACACCCACAGAGAGGACGGAAGTTGGAGAAACAGCAGCAGCAGAGATGGTGTTTATTGGTATAAAGTTTCCAGCACTTCATCTCACTTTTCAGAGGCCCCATCATTTTCTCAACTTAATTGTCATTCTTTTGAGTGATTCTAACACAAACTTAGTTTCCCCTTCCACTCCCTCACACTCTCCTCTTTATTCCTTTTTTCCTTCTCTTCCTTTTTGTGGTTAAGGAGCAGTGGACAGACATATCTACTCCATGGTCTTCCAAGTCTGAAAACCTCCCATTCTCCCCTCCTCTCACATTTACTAGAGACTCTGCTGTTTGCTTTCCCTTCGGAGAGGGGAAGTGGCCCCAGGAACCCACTCCCTGAAGGGGCTGTGTTTATGCAACTAGTGCCCACATGTTTCAGGCTGTGGCTCCCACTGATTCAGCTCTGGGGACTCAGCACGCAGCAACAAAAACTGGGGAGTTTGAGATCCCTGGAGAGTTGGAAAGAGGGGACTCTTTTTTCTTGCTTTCAACCAGCATCCCAGGGCACAAAAATGAATTATGTTACCTGCTTCTCATACCTGGCAAGAAAGCAAATATTTTTGCTGCATCTGAACTCCGTGTGCAAGTACTGATGGAAGTCGATGGGAAAGGTGCACTTCTTGCTCACCTCCCCATAGGATTCCCCTTTGGGTGTCAGGGGACTCCTCAGCAGGACCCACAAAGGCAAGCATTAAAAACAATCCTTCGTGCTCAACAAAAATTTGAAGGCATTGATAGTGCTAGATGCCTTCTCTGCTCCAAAGATCTGCCTCATAGTTTACCCATCCAAGATTTTCATTCACTCATTTATTCACCCAACACACTTTCATTGACTGATTACTATGTCCCAGGTTTGGTGCTGTGTGCCTGAGAAAGAACGAAGGACAAGCAGATGAGTTTTACAGTAAAAGTGATAGGAGAGACAAAGAAATAAACAAATACATCCAAGTCATTACATATGTTTTAAGTGCTATGAGATATCTGTGGGCTGCTAGCCCAGAGGGTGAGGTTTGATGAACTGCAGGCTAAACATAGAAATAAAGGCAAGTTGCATTTTCTAATGACTTACTTTTACATGTAACTTAGGAAATGTTCTTCAGAGAGTCACAGCAGGACTTTAAAATGGAATTGCTTTCCCCTCAACTTGAACATCAGTAATATCCCTGATATCATGAAGGCTGGTCACGTCTCCTAAAATGCCTTTCAAATGATGTGGCTTTGCCTCTACGAGGGAAATAAACCAAAGGAACAGCCCAATTGCCCCAGCAATAGACACTACCTGGTTGTCTACCTAACAGCTATTCTTGTCTTGCCCATGCCCTTTTCCATGATTCTGTGTAATGTCTGAGGAGGTCTTTGTGACGCTGTCCCTGAGAGAATAGCCTAAAACTCACTATTGGAAACGTGTTTAGGGGAAAAGTGGATCATGCTGTCTCTTAAGAGAGATGATGCCATAGAGACCACAGGAAACAATGCAGGTTGACACTTTCTCTTCTTACATTGCTCTGCTGGGCTTAGAGAATCTGCCCTCTGATTTCTTCCTCTTACTAGGACCCGGAGCCACAAATCCTCTTACGTGGCAACCTGGACACGTGGCCATTCTCCTGCTCTTCAGTAACTTACAACTAAGGTTCCACCTGGTGGATGGAGGGTGAGTAATCATATTTTACAGAGACCCACAAACCCCATTTGCCTTTCTCAAGTCTTCCCACAGCTAACCTCATGTAGTCAGAGTCCTAAATGTGACAAAGGGCTCTTCAAAGACCTCATCTCAACCTGACTTGATTTTAGGTCCCCAGTAAGTGTATATATCTCTCCCATGGAACCATGGAGCTCATTCCAAGGTATATCAGGGTAAAAAAGCCAAACCAAAGTTTTCTTCCATTAGAATAGGGAGGTGGCCTCTAAGTGTACTTTTTTCCTGCCTTCTTCCTCATCTTTAAAACCATTGCACTGGTCAAACCAAACCATCTCCTACTTGTCCATACATCCAAACAAGCTCCACACCTTGCTGTCTGAACAGTTTGGCCCTGACCCTACCTTACTGTTCTTAGCCAGCTCCCATTTGAATCCCCTCCTCACCTGGTTCTACAGCCTCGGTCTCTCGCTCTTCTCTAGTCTCCCCCCAACCCCACCAGATCTTTTATTCTTCCATGACTCTGCTTGCCCTTATTTTAGCTCCCTGATTTATTCCCAGGGAAACCTCTATACTTGACCCAGCTCGACACAAATCCCAAGAGCGTGGGACTTGCTGACCCACTCCAGCTCTTTGCGTTTCTTCTACATCAGCACTGATAAATGTGGACTCAAACGGGTAACATTTCCCTTAACAATGCACACCAAGCTGAGGGTAAGAGGGTTGCCAGAGTGGCTGGATCATGTTATGAAGTCCATTCCTGAACTGGTTTCCGGTCTTCTGCTTCTCCCGTCCCCATACCGTCTTTGCTTCCTACTAGTCCTGTCCTGGGAAACTCCCTGTCAGCCAACTTGGCCCTCAGCCTGCCTGCTCTGCATCTCAGACGCAGACTAACACTGTCCCTCATGAACTAGTGCAATAGGCTTAGCCACTCAGCCTCCTTGGTTAGAGAGAAACCACTCCTCTCTAGAGAGAAACCACTCCTCTCTTCTCTTTTTTCTCCCTTTCTCTCTCTTCCTGCCGGTGCTAAGTCACGGGGTTGCGTCTACATCCGGGCGTAAGAGTGGGAGTGAGGACAGTCATACAATTCAGATTTGATTCTGACTCTAAAGTTGAACCAGTGCACAATCCTGCCTCTATTGGTGAAAACTGGGTAGAGGTAACTAGAACACGACAGGGCTGATAAGCTGTGTAGTTGAGAGAAATGAGGGAAGAGCCAAGTGGGCACGTTAGGTAACAGAGCACCCCAGGGGCCAGTCCACTCAGGAGACCGGCTGGTTCTCCAGTGGGGTGACTCTGTGTCTTGACGGAGGCATCTCCTCGTATTTCCTGGTCAACTATAATCTCATCTAGAGCTGCTGCTGAGCCACCACACTTCCAGGGATGAGCCCATGTCTGAACAACAGCTGTCATGTGAGGAATCTTCCTGGGGAGGGAACATGCAACCTTTCAGCGACCTCCTAGAATATATTGCCATCAAGGGAACTTTTTTCTGGGCACAGACATGTAACACTTAAAACCCCAAATGAAAAATTTTAACAGGAAGAAGGAAAGATTAGTAAGCTAGAAAGTGAACGTCTGCTTTTAAAACAGGAGTACCCATGGGATTCTTTTAAACCAGGAACAAAAATATTACTTGCTGGAACGTGTTGTTTTTCACAGTAAAATTTGTGAACAACTACAAGAAAACCATATGGTTCTATGTACAGGAAGGTAGAGTCTGTGTGCCTTTCCCTATTCCTCCCTGGGGTACAACTAAGTAACCTGAACACCCTGGACATTATGCAGAAAACAAGTATAAGAAGGCTCTAAAATAGGGGAGAAGATGGCAGATCAGCCAGGACATTGGGACCCATGGAACGAAACATTGGTGAGTTTTCTGGGGTTTTTTTTGCCTCATATATCCCAGACGTGGAGCTCAAGAGGCTGGAAACCTGGAAACGCCAACAGGCACAGATAAAAAAAAGCCACAACAAAAGCTCTCTCTAGCCAATGTCATAGGAAATGAGCAGCCTAGCAAGAGAGATAACTTCTAGATAGTGACTCTTCTCTTCTAGCAAATACCACAGAAAACCTGTGGCCCCATTCCCACTCCTGCCAGCAAAGACTTAATGGGCAGCTCAGACTTCCACCCTCACCAGACTGTACAAGACCCCTTTACGACCAACCTTCCCTAGGGTGGTGTTAGAAAAAGCTAAGCAGGGAACCAGGGCTTTCATGGTCCTCCCACAGAAACCTGTGGGCAGTCTTGGTTTCCACACCCACTCAGTAGTCATGAGGTGCCACCCTCCCCACCCCAAACAGGCATGGTGTGCCTGTGTCTGAGACCCAGTGAAGAATCAGGACTTCATCACAACAGCCATGGAGAAGCAGTAATGAGGCACTTCTACTCTTCCCAACCAAGGAGATATCACCGAGGCCTACTGGGGAGCTGGAAGACCCACCCCTGGCCAGCAGTTATGGGAGCTCCCCTTAGGTATCAACAGAATTCAAGAGGGAAACAGCAGTAATGAAGCAGTGCATTCTCCTGCCTCTCCTGCCAGTGTGATGTCAGAGGAAGCCAGCTAAAACAGAAGGCGTCAATAAGATCTAGAGTCTTATAACATTAGTCATTAGGGAAATGCGAACTAAATCATATTGATATATCACTACACACATATTAGAATGTCTAAAATTGAAAATGATTGACCGTACCAAATGTTGGTGAGGATGTAGGAGAGCTAGAACTCTCATACATGACTAGTGAGACTGTGAAATAGTACAAACACTTTGGAAAACAATTGAGCCATTTCGTAAAAAGTTAAACACACACCTACCAGGTGATCCAGCCATTCTGTTTCCATGTATTTACCCAAGATAAATGAAGGCATATGATCATATAAAGACCTACTTATAAATGCCCATAGCAGCTTTATTTTTAAGAGCCCCAAACTAGAAATAATCCATATGTACATCAACAAGTGAATGGGTAAAGAAACTGTTACCAAACAAACATCTATTACTTAGCAACAAAAAAGACTGAATTATTGATGGAGGGGTATCAGAATTATTTTGCTAAATGAAAGAGGCCAGGTAAGCAAGAATACATAGTGCATGGTTCTATTTATATAAAATTCTAGAAAATGCAGAAAGCAGATTAGTGGTTGCTTGGTGACAGGGGTTGAGAAACAGATGGGGAGAAATGGGGAGGTGAGATTATAAAACAGCATGAGGGAATTTTGGTGGGTGATGAATATGTTCATTTTCTTAATGGTAGTGATGGTTTCTGGGTTTATGCATATGTCAAAATCTATCAAATTGTGTGCTTTAAATAGGTGCAGTTTATTGTATAACAGCTGTATAAACATACACCTGTTAAAAAGTTTATGTTAATAACATTTCAACCATTGATCACAATTGTTACAGAACCACTTACCTCAAGCAGTACTTGTTGAGCATCTGCCTAATGCAATCAGCCATAATCAAACGTCAAAGTAGCAACAATGTAAAGATCTGGTAGTTCTAGATTTCTTACCAAGTCATCATATTAATGATAACAGTTTAGTGGTTTAAAGGAGTTCAGATAACTTAAAAATTATCCTTTTTAAGCAAGTGTAGAGAGTTTCAATTAGGTAATATAATGCTTACTGGAAATTTGTTAAATGAAAGAAAATAACAGAAAACAGATTTTTTCAAATGTGAGAAGGAAGTCTCCAAACTTTAAGAGTGAACACTCTCTATTTAAAATAGGATTTGGCTTACAAAACTTCAATTGCCCTAAAAGGACATGTCGAGCAAGGTGGTCAATTTGGCCCAAAGCAACATCCAGAGACATCAACATTATTGAAA